CCCATTAACCCTAAACCCTACCAAACCCTAAACCCCTAAACCCCTAAACCCCTAAACCCCTAAACCCCAAACCCCCTAAACCCTAAACCCCTAAACCCCTAAACCCTGAACCCCAAACCCCCAAACCCCCTACACCCTAAACCCCTAAACCCCTAAACCCTGAATCCCAAACCCCTAAACCGCTAAACCCCTAAACCCTAAACCCTAAACCCTAAACCCCTAAACCCTAAACCCTTGTGAAAAAAAAAGCCTCCAGGAGAGGGTCAGGTCTTCCACAATGGAGAGGCGAAGGTTACAGGCGTGCTCGGTCTGCCCGTTGGCGCGCCGCTCTTTCCCATCGTGGACTCTTGGGCTAGGGTTTAGGGTTTAGGGTTTAGGGTTTCGAGTTTGGGGTTTGGGGTCATAAATCTATGAGTCATGCGACGTAATGTAGGGGCCTTAATAATTAGAATAGGGTTTTGGCGCCCAGTATACTATTTTTGTAATAAGGAGCCCCCCAAAATAGAATAGGTATTTATTAAGGCCCCTATAGTAATTTGGTTAAGATTAAGAGGCACGGCGTAGATCCGATTGCAGTCCTGTAACTTATGACTTCCAGCCTAACTCCTTCTAGAACCTCTCTACAGCCTCTGACAGCTGACTTATCTAGCCTGACTCCTTCTATAACCTCTCTAGCCTCTGATAACTCCATACAGCCTACACATTTATACACATCCAGTGTGCCGTGGTCCTGCCAGTAGCAGGGGGGATTTTCAGGTTCCTTTGAGGGCTTTGGTTCTCATGACTGTAAGGGGAGGGACACGTCAATCTCACCATCGTCACCCATCATCGCCGTCGTAACCGTCAGCATCCTGGAAATCATTACCTTCAGGGGCCTGCAGCAGGACGGCGAGTGTGTAGCTTCTTCTTTTGCTGTTCACAATCCTTCGCATGATGCATCTTCGTATCTCCACCCATCCACCGAGGACTTGTTGGGCAGTGCAGTTTCGGTCTCTTTGGTGCCTGCCGCGGAGCCCCCTATTCGTGACCTTGGGCCTTCTCCGCCCCCAACGGCCACACAGAGCCTCCCGGGCTCGATACCCACAGCCCCCACTGGCCCCAAGGCAGCCGCCACACCTGTGCCGACAGTGGCCCCAGCTCCCGCGCCCGCCCCAGCTCCCCCCAAGCCTGCCGCACCTGTGGTGGCGGCCAAGCCGACAGCCGTGGCCGCTGCTCAGGCGAAGGTGAGGTCGGGTACGAAAGCGAAACCCACGGGCCGCTCCAGAAGGGGTGCTGTTGCAAATAGGGGATCATCAAGGCCTTGTCATATATAGTACACTCTGAAGACAAGAATGTGCCATGGAATTGGAGAAGCAAATCCTATATATCTATATCTATCTGTAGACATGTTGCCATACGCAGCCCTTGAACGTAAGAAGAGGTACAACACATCGGTGCACCTTTAGGGTCTTGACATCTTCCTTTGTTATAATTATGTACACCTGTGGCCCAAATCTCTGACACTCCCTGGCAAGGAGGCGACTCCCGCAACCCGGAAGGGTCCCTGCTTCAGCTCGCACCTGAAGGGGCGGATGGAACCTAGCCTGCAGCTTTGTTCTCGGTGTGATTGTAAGGGCTACTATAAGGGTTTAGGGTATAGGGGCCTTAATAACAAATAGGGTTTGGGGGTCCTTTATGGTATGATTATAGTACTTGATGTTGTTATGAGAACTGCTAGTAGCTGCTAGCCGCACATGCCTGAAAACGCAAGGAGGAACTACCGCCACTAAGCTTCATCAGCATCTGCTTCCACGGCAGTACCATCACAGACGCCACCACTGCCACCACTCATAAACGAAAGCGACAACCATCATTAGCAAAGCAAGGTTTGCGTTTTCATTTGCCGGGGTTACGCTATTGGGCGCAGGCACGAAGAGATCAACATAGCGTCTGCTGTATGCAGGTATACGACCCCAAGACTGTTCTTAGCATTGGCAGTATCTACCAACAAGCCTTTAGACCGTAATGTAACCTCTACACATTTCTTTAAAGCTCTGGTCAGATCCTACAAGTTCATAAAATCAGCTTATTCAGTAGCATCGCCCTCAAAGAGCTTCTTTACCTGAAGGCCTCATTATCCCGAAGGGTTTAAGAGGGTTAAGCAGCAACATAGTCCATACCTTTCGTGCCACAATCCCTAGCATATATTGTTGGTACTTAGACCCTTTGTGCATTGTCATGAAATGCAGTAGAGGCGACTAATTGAAAGCATACTGTGACTGCCGTGGCTGCTGCTACTTTTCTTCTCAGCACGAGTATTTGTTGCTTACTAAGCGCAAACCGTGTTCAACTGTTTGGAGATCTGGCGTTGTCATGCCTCCGACGGGATCTATCGCAACTATGCCGACTTGTGTGCAAGGGAGCCCAATATAGGCTTGATGCAATTTGTACCTCCAGATCCTCAGCATAAAGACCTCTGACAAAAGACCCTCGTCTTCTGAAGTCCCTATGTCCCCAAGGGTCCAAGTACCTACTCTTCATATACCCCCCCAACGATTAACCTACATAACTACTATCATAAGCCCAAGTACCTTATTATTCCCTAAACCCTAAACCCTAAACCGAAGTACCTTATTATTGGGTGCCTTGGACCCAGGGTTGAATTTGCGGAGGGGTTCATTTCCCCCTGGCGCGCCTCCTCCATGGGAAGGTCGCCTTGTCTGAGCAGAACACGGTTGCGTCAAAGCAGTCGGGCGATACAGAGGCTTCTGTTGCAGCATTGAGTGCTTGTAGTCAGAAAGCGATGGAATGGTTTGAACGTTAAACCCTAAACCTTACAACCCTATAATTCTATACACTCTACATGCTAAACCCTACAACCCTACACACTACACCCTAAACCCCCAAACCGCCAAACCCCAGAAAGCTTCGCAGGCGTTGCATAGCGTCGTCTTCCTCGAATGGAAGATGCCAGCGGTCCCCGGAGGCATCGGACTGAGGAATCTTGAGCGCAAACCCTTTCAAGCCCGGGTCAAATGGAAAGCCAAGCATTGGGGGTTCGGGGAGTTCAGGATATGTTGGCGTTAGGATTCTGGGTTGTGCATTGCTTTTTCTCTGGGTCTTTTGATTTGTAGGTCTTCACGGGTGCACCATGCGGGGATTTTGTGTTGTCAGATCATCATCCGGGTAGTTCTCTAAATTAGGGTCCCCTTTTGGGTCCCCAATATAGTACGGCACCCATATAAAAAGGACCCTAAAACAGGACCCTAATTTAGAGAACTACCCATTTGTTTCTCAAAAGCTCGTGGGATGCAGCATCCGTTGCCCATTGTCGCCCAAAGTAAGGCCTTGCGGATACGCTTCCTGGAAGTAACTTGAGCCCACCTGCCCTCCTGCTTTGTCTTATCCCCTTTGCATAGGGGTTTCGGGTTTAGGGTTTCGGGTTTCGGGTTTGGGGTTTAGGGTCTAGGGTTTAGGGTTTCGGGTTTAGGGCTGTTGGGTTCTGTGTGTCGGGTTTGCTATCTCAGTTATGCTCAGCTTTTCAGTCGCCCCTGTCTGTGTCTTATCCTTCGTACCTAGGCGAGCTAAAGCCCTTAACCTTAAACCGGGTTTAGGGTTTAGGGTTTAGGACCCTGAAATCCGCAACCCCAACCTGCAAATCCAACCTTTTCAAGGTCATCCCTGCGCACGGTGGCTGCCAACCCGACGTCTCAGTAGCACTAGTCACTCTCCCAGTCGCAGTATCTAAGGACTTTAGGAGGGACCCCTAATAGGGACCCTTCATCCCATTACCTTATAAAGTGCTGACGGTGGTTGTGGTGGTGGGCACTTGTCGTTCTTGTAGCAGCCGTAGTAAGTTGTAGTACTTGTAGTGCTTGTAGCGTCTGTGGTGTTTTCAGTAGTCGTAGTCGCATGCGAAAATGACCGTTACGCACCCATCAGACCTTCAGTGAACTCCCTGGAAACCCCAACCCCTAAAGTCTAAAACCCTAAACCCTAAAACCCTAAAACCCTAAAACCCTAAACCCTGAGCCCTAAACCTTAAACCCTAAACCCCAGAACCCTCAACCCTGAACTCCCTAAACCGACCCTGAATCCGAAACTATGAAAACTAAACTGAATCCCACACCATGCCAGGCTTTTACTTCGAGGTGCGCGTGGAGCAGACACTGACGACGGAGCTGGATGGAGTCTCTGCGCATAGTTTGGTTGGCGATTTAGAGCTTCACGGCTCGGGGGGTTGAGGGCTTGCGGGTGTTGGAATTCATGGTTTTGGTACTTTAGGGTGTGGGGTTGAAGTGTCAGTGTCATTGGTTTGAATACGCATACCTGCCAAGCCTGTATGAGTTTAAGCTGCCGGTGCTTTCGTGGTGTCAGGGCCTGGAAAGGGTTATCTGTATGAGCGCAATGAGCGCAGAGTTTGAGCGCCCTCACCTAAACAGTACCCTAAACCCCAAACAGAGCCCTGAACCTTGCGCAGAACCCGAGGCCCTAAGCAGAACCCTAAACCTTACAGAGAAGCCTAGGCCCGAAACAGAACCCTAAACGAGTTTAGAAAGTTTAGGGTCTTTGGTGTTGGGGAATTTAGGGTTTAGGTTCGCAGGCGTTGGAGTTTAGGGTCTTCGGTTCTGGCGGTTAGGGTATGTGTCTAGACTTTCCGCTACGAAACGCAGAGCGCTGAGTTCAGCCCTTCAGCCTGTGCACCAGCAAGCTCGAAACCGATAGAACAAGGAACAAAACGATACTAGTGGTAGTAGTAGTAGTAGTAGTAGTAGTAGTAGTAGTAGTGGCAGTAGCAGTAGCAGTAGCAATAGTAGTAGTAGGAGCAGCAGCAGTAGCAGTAGTAGTAGTAGTAGTAGTAGTAGTAGTAGTAGTTGTTGTAGTAGTTGTAGTAGTTGTAGTAGTTGTAGTAGTAGCAGTAGTACACAATTGTAATAGTAATAGTAATCGTAATCGTAAAAGTAGGAGTAGTAGTAGTAGTAGTAGAAGAAGAAGAAGTTGTTGTTGTAGTAGTGGTGGTAATAGTAGTAGTAGTAGTAGTAGTAGTAGTTAGTATTAGTATTAGTATTAGTATTAGTATTAGTAGTAGTAGTAGTAGTAGTAGTAGTAGTAGTAGTAGTAGTGGTGAGTAGTAATAATAATAGTTGTCGTCGTCGCAGTCGTAGTTGTAGTCATAGTGCTAGCGCCAGTGCAGCGCCAGCGCAAGTGCCAGTTCCTGTGCGTTTGCTTGTGCTTGTGCTAGTGCTGGTGCTAGTTGTAGTTGTGGTCGTAGCATGAGTAGCAGCAGCAGCAGTGGCCGCCGTCGTCGTGGTAGTAGTCGTCGTAGTTGTCGCAGAGAGTATAGTAGTAGTCGTCGTCGCCGCAGTCGTAGTATTCGTAGTCGTAGTGGTAGTCGTAGGAATTTGTAGCCTCAGTAACCTTGGCAGAGCGAGTAGCAGCAACGTAGTAGTAAGTAGTGGTTGCAGCAGTAAGTATCAACACGCAGTAGCAATATGCACTTGCAGTACTTGTAGAGGGGCAGTTGCCCTAACAAGAGAAAGGTCAGGAGCAGCAGCAACAGTCGCAGTAGCAGTAGCTTCATACAAGTGGTAGTAGTCAGCAAAAGTGGGGTTGGCCAGCTAATTACCCGTTCTGTCCGCTTCAGGTGCCCCATGTCCAGGCACCACGGAACTTTTGTTCGGTTCTGAACTATTCCATAGATGTATTTAGGCCTGCGTGTGCGAGCACCACGAAAAACGCAGCCGGCTGATTGTCCAGAGCTATGCGATTTTGTGGGGGGGTTCCTCCTTAAAGTTGTAGAAAAATATCACCCACAACCCTATTCTAATTATTAAGGCCCCTACATTTGGCGTAGATTGATTTTGGTAGCATGTCTCTGAGGATCGGCCTTGACCAGAGCTATGGCCACTGCTTTCGGGCTTCTTCGGCATCGGCAATCTATAGTTACCCATAGGCCCCATAGTCGTTCCTTTTGGGGGTTCATATTTGGAATCCTATAAGGTAACCCCAACAAGGAACTATATACTATGGGGCCTATGGGTAGTGAAGACTCAGGCTGAGTTGTAGGAGGGGTTTGAGCAGTTGTCCTGGGCATTTTCTTTTGCTGGTTCGCTGTAGCAGTGGGATCCTGCTGTTGTTGTGTTTGTTGCTGCTCTTGATGTTCGACTGTTGGTGCTATTGATGCTATCGTCGCTGGTGTTGCTGCTGCTGCTGTTGCTCGTGTTGTGCGAGCGTGATCGTGTTCGTCGTCATGATCTGTTCAGTCTAGCGTCATTCTGTGTTCTAGTAACTAGCAGACGCCACCTGGGAGCGAAACTGCAACTCCAACTGCCTGCGTAAAGCCATGAAGGAGGGTGGATTCCGAAAGAAAACCGCGGAACCACGGAAACAAGACCCAAGTCAGTTGAACATCTGGGGTTCCTGGTCGGGGCAGGGGCTGCTTGAATGCTGGCCTTGGAAAAGATGTCCTTCAACTGGGAGTTTCCGAAAAAAAGGGATGCCTTTTCTTGGGGGTTCTTATAATAAGGATCCTACTTTTTAGGGCACTATTTTTAGGGTCCCCTATTTTCGGAAACCCCCAAATGGGTTGGTGATACAGTGCCCAGGGTGAGATTGTTCTCTCTTGTTGTTTGCTCTGCCGAAGCAGACTTGCAAAGGCTGTGTGGCAGGTTCAGCTGCTGTACAGGTGCACGGGTATATCGCGGGGTCATCCCCTTCCCCCTCCCGTCATTGCACGTTCAGTCACATGCAACCATATATATATATATGTAGAGAGATACATATACATACATATATATATATATATATATGAGTCTTCTCGATCGGTCAAGGGGTCAGAGCAGAAGTCATGAGGTTGCCTGAGAACCACTTCGATCCAATGATGAATGAAAGCTTCTGGGGAGCTCGTATCATTGGCTACCCTGCCCTGCCGGCAGCTTGGGTGCATCATGGGACGGAATCAGGCCTGCATGAGCTTCACCGGCCGGCAAGTGAATCATAGCACAAGATCCAGTCTTAGATTTCCACAGGCTCCAGTCTGGTAATGATTCCAGTACTCATCACTGCTCCTACAGATCTCCTGCCGGCCCTTGTAGATAAGGCTCTGTCTTACGGTCCTTTATACTATATAGGCGTGTTTCAATACACGCCCCAGACCATGTTCTAACTATGGAGGCCGCTGTCTAGAGGCCACGACCATAAACTTATTTGGGGACTGAGTGCTCTATGTGACCGCGGCAAAAATCAGACACTGCTGGGTCGGTAGTCGCAACGTAGCGCGGAACAGCATCAACTCCAAGCTCAAGTCGACACCCCTGAAGATTTTGAGCCCCAAGCGCAACCTGCCTTGCAGGGTACACATGCTGTCCGAGATCGTGGTTTGACACTTGAAGTTTTCCTAAAATTGTGCGGCAGTTTGGTCAGCAATCGTGCACATATGTAGTTACAGCAGCGGTCATCCTGATATTGGAAGCCAGTCTGGAATGGCAAAAGAGCCGGTATTGTTCACAGATCCTGGCAAAGCTTGACACCTGGTCGATGCCAACTCCACAGGAGGGCACCGCAGCCGAGAGAAGTCTGTGACTCACCAGGTTGATGCGCCCGGCCTCTCTTGTGGAGAGCACACGGACTACGGCTGCTGGATTATTCTGGCACAGGTCGGGGCTACATCTCAAGCTGCCAGGGCAATTTGGAGTAGGTGTTGTGTGATTTTGTTTTTCTCTGAACTTGGACATCAGGTTCATAAGGGGTGAAGAGAAAAAGTTAGACTGTGCATTTCGTAATTTGTTGGCCGGCAAGCAAAAGTTAACCGATTCACTTCTGCTGTTGATTAAACTGAAGGTCGATAGCCAGCACCGAAGCCCCCTGGGCCAGGCCATCATTGCTGCTACGCTATCGGAAGACAGTAGATAGATGTATAGGCAGGCTGCAAATCCCCGTTTGAGTAGGATACAACAATAGAACAATCGCAAAGGCTAGAGCTGCATTGCCGCTTGCAAGCTTCACGCCTGAGTGAAGATCACCATGAATCCTAAACCCAAATCCCTGAATCCTAAATTTCCTAAACTCCTAAATCCGGGCGGATCGACCTCTGAATCCGTGCCTGCCAGTGCTAGTCGACACCCGGGTGGCTTTCAGGGGTTTGAGTTGCCAGGACGAAACGCAGGGGGCGCTTGAGGCGAAGCTGCCTTGTGGCAGGTGGACGTTAGCGGATCAAGGGTATATAATAGTATAGATGGGGATTGTGTGCATGTTGCTCAAAAAATAGGGACATAAGGGACACTATGATCACTGATAGCAGTGTTTCGGCCCTGTGTTTCCGCCTACGGTCGCGGGTATTGCGGGTGTCGGGTCACGCATCCAGTGCTCGAGTTGTTGTGTAATTTCGGCCGCAGCAAATTACCGATAAGTGCCATCAGTTGCAGTGAATGTTCATGTGTGGGGTCGGTAAGGTAGTTTTTCGGGATAAGTTGAGCATCTGGCTTCTGGCTCGGTATCTGTTGAGGATGACGGCAGCCGTTCTGAACGGCTCGGTTGCATTGTAGCCTCTGTTGCCGGGCTGCTTCGGTGAGGCAAGTTGAGCCCGGTCGCCACCTGTCGGCGCCGTCATGCTTCCCGAGAGAGAATGCAGTCATTATGTGGTGCGATATTAATCATCCACAATGTGTAACTGCATCCACGAGGTGGGAGGCAATTCCGCCAGTGCCTGGAAAGCTGGTGGTCAACCTGGGTGACACCTGGCTTTGCATACCGAGCTAGTTTCGGGTTTCCGATCGTGGCTTTCCAGACAGTCTCTACTATTGGTGTTCTTGTCTTTCCTCACTTGCATAACTCGTGTGGCACGAAAGTGGCACACACCCACACACGCGCACGCACAGAACTTGCGTCTCCATTGTGCAAAGTGGCACAGGCGAGCAGGCATGTGGTTGATGCGGCGTTTTCGACTTTGAGTTTGGATTTAGGGTTGCCGTCCTTTTGGCCATTCAGGAGTGTCGGAGGCCTAGCCGATGTGGCGGTGTTTTGCATGCATGCTTGGTGAATATGTGAAGCCATGCACAAGAGGTGAGTTAAAGGATGACACCGCAACGATGCCTGGTTTAACTTGAGTGATGGAGAATCTTTACAAAAATCCGTCAGATTCGACGCAGTGCCCAAGCAGAACGCACCGGCCCCTGGGACTCTCGATGCACGC